TATTCATCAGAATTTCGTATGACTTGACTTGACTTGACTTGACCTGAGCAATGACTTGACTTGACTTGCTTGACTCTCACCACAGTGACTTGGGACTTGCTTGATACATGTAGGTCAAGACTTGAGACTTGCTCATGACTTGCACATGTAGGACTTACTCCCACCTCTGCTAATTACTAAACAATGTCTGTTCTGATCGTGCGTTTTACAAGGTTTTTGTTACCAATGACACATGATTGCTTTACAAGACTCTTTTAAACTCGCTCTCCAGCAGCAGGCATTACACTAGCAGGGCACATCCTGTTCTTTCCCCTGTGAAAACTCTCTGGGACAGGGGCAAGGCCAAAGCTACAAAGGGGGATAAGCTAAGAACGTTTTTGATTGACTATTTTTAATACCCTCTCTCTGCAGCATACATATATGTCTGGTAGATGAGGGAAATAGCTGTCTTTTAAGCATCAAGTTATTCCAGGGTGAGGCAGTGCTCAGTGCTACTGAAGTCATTCTTCATCAGTGGTTCCAGAAGCAACTGTCCCTTCAGGCCTGAAACAACAGTGGGAGGGGTATTGTTTTGTGCTTTTGAAATTCCTCTGCCACCCCCGAGGATAGACCAGAGGCTCTGGGACTGCGCCGCTGCGATAACAGCAGCAACACAACACTTATATTTCCTGTTATTGAGATGCAGCAGCAGTATCAAGGGCTGAGAGACATTTTTATTTAAACAAGCCGCTGCTGTACTTCCTTTCTTCAGTGATACTCAGTGATACAACCAAAAAATTGTTGTGAAGCAATAACAAGTCCATCAAGATCAATGATAACGCGTTTGTGTGCTTTTGGTCAAAAGTCTCATCCTTCTGCACCTCAGTATCTACAAAGGAAGTCCCGGGTTTCCTATTAGGGTGCACACTGAAGGTACTGTGGTGTGGGTTTCACTCTGGCGCCATCCTAATCTAGTCAGTACTATCAGGAGCTGGCCTCTTTAAGTGACACGCACTCCTCAACATCGGGTGTTTCTGCAATAAATCACTTTACAGCGGGCTCTTTGATTAACTGTCATGTAAAGACCTGTTAAGTGTATTGGTATGGCGTGTAAGCAAAGGCAAACAGTCTAAACAAGTTAAGCAACACCAGCCAGTAATTCAAGGCTGCTGTTTTCTATTATTCAAAAACGTTTTCTTTCGTTATGTTTATATATTGTGTAAACTTGATTGCAAGTAATACTGCCACCTCTATAACTCACCTGCGCAATCTTGAAGGTGATTGAAGAAGAAAAAGATAGGAGTCTCGGGAGTCATAGAGTGATCGGAGTGATCCGAGTAGCTGTTGATTTTCAACGTCTGCCGCATCGATAAGGCCCAAGCAGGCATTTCCATTAGGAATTTAGTTGGCTGGCGTTCGGATGTGGGCCAAACAACAGTTTCACTTACTTTAAAAAGGGATAAAGATATTACAAATAACTTAGGACTTTTTTGTTATTTAAAACCGGTTATTGAGTGGAAATGTGCAATACCCATCAGGCACTCAGGAGAAAAAAATGGCGAGTTAAGAGACATTTATGGGCTGAAGTGAAAAGCAGGAATTTCAATGATTTTATGGAAATTAGTTCTTTAACTTACTTAAATAATAACAAAGACTAAAGTTAATATTCAGGTTTTTTCCATATTTATTTGATACCATTTAAGCGGGCAGGGAAGATAGAGGCCAACCCCTCCCACCCTGGACACAGACTGTTCACCCCCCTCCCCTCTGGCAGGAGGACCAAAACCTATCTCCACCTGAACAGCTTCTTCCCCTCCGCTACCGGCCTCATCAACAAGGCCCGGCCCGGCACCCCCACTGACACTGACTTTCTATCCACCCCACAAACATTATGCATTACATTAATGCTTTTCTTCTTAATACTGTGAGCCATGTTCATGCTCAACTCTCTGACTATATTTTGCACACTGATATATATAATACACTGTAGTTTGCCATATATTCATTTTCCTATGTGTTTTAGTTTTTCTTAGCGTTTAAGGTTCTTGTGTATATTTAAATTAAAATGTTGAGTAAATACTTCTCTTTATTATTTTGTAATGCTAAATAGTTTCTTAAAAAGTATTTCTTTTTATAATCTTTATATTTTTGACCTACTACTGCAACCTATTTTCTTAAACTGTTATTGTTAGCACCACCAGACCCCAAAGCAAATTCCTTGTTTGTGTAAACGTAACTGGCAATAAACTTGATTCTGATTCTTTATTGATTTTCTAAATGTCTCTATGGGGATCAATGAAAGTTTATCTCATCCTATGTTAACTTATTACATAAAACAATGTTAATAGGAGAAAGAAAAAAATAGACTTTGAGCAAGTAGATTTTGTAGACAAAATGGGAATAACATGTTTAAAGCTGTGTACAGTAACTGCTGCAGAACAAAAACAGCTGAAGGGCATCTGAGATCCGAGCATGACTTATGCAACAGTACACTCAAGCTACAGCAGCAGCAGAGTTAGCTGGAGGTTGACATACTTTGAGCACCTGTCAGTGAGCAGAGTGGCTCCTTCAGGCCAAGAGAGGGGAAATAATTTGTTATATCTAAAAAAAAAAAAAAAATGCATTTAAAGGCTTTATCAGGGGAATTGTATAGGGTATTTAAAAGTAATCACAGTACCCAAACAACAGAGTAAAGTGGAAAGAGAACATCAAATTCCTCAAAGCAAAATGTAATTTATGATCCCCCCCAGACGAAAGAGAGAAGACATTACAGGCAAATATTTCAGTCACATTGCTCTGTGATGGTTTCCCACTAGCCAGGACAGTGTGTCACAACTATGCTGCAATGGTGCGAGCTGCTATAGAGGAAGGTAGAGAGGGGAAGATGTTGTCGCTTTTCAATACAAAGAAGGAGCAAGGTTGTGACGCACTATTATATATATATATATAAGTCTGTGCTGCAGCGTCTGAAAAAATACTCACTGAGGGGAAAAGTCACAAGAAGGGAAAAAAGTTACAAATGCACCAAACTGACTGGGCTATACATTTTAGGAAATAAAAACATGTGGATCACACTGCTTGTTTCTTAACCTATATTTCACAGATCACAAAGCACACATTTTTATCTTGCTGCTGGACTAGATTTAAAATCACCCTGTGCTACTCCATCAGAAGGAAAAGGTAAGCCTGTCACATCTCCAAAAAAGAACACAAGGTGGGTCATCTCCAGCTTACAAATCCTGTAAATCTGCTTTGCTTTAATTACTGTTCACTTCCGCTGCATGCATAGACCCAGGTGTAGGGACCAGCCCTCTATTTATAGACATCTGCCCAGTGCTCAATCCAGCTTGTGCTAAGAAGATTTAGTCTCCCTGCATCCTGCTGGTGTAGAGAGCTGATTTCCATTTAGAGAAAACAGCAAAAGAACATGATATTCTGATAAAAGGAAGTCCCAAGTGACTTCCTGGTTATCGGATGCCATTTCAATGAATGAAGGAAGCATAGCCATATTGCTGAAAAGGATTACTGCATTTTTGGCTGAAATTCACAGTCGTATAACCAGGCCATGACTCTGCAGGCGTGCGCTAACACACCACATTACTGACAAACAGCAGCTGAGGTCAAAACGTTGCTGAGTAAACCATCCATTCACTGTGAGATTATAGGTCATGAAGCAAATTATGGCTTGTCACTTTTCTTTTACACAGAGTGAAAGGTCCAGTGAAAAGGTGGGAACAGATGAAGAAAATCCATTCTCTCTCATTGTCTTCCTGATCCATTGTTATCATGAAAAGACATTAAGATGAGACAACACTGCAGTAACTCTATCTATTTTTTTCATTTTGATGAAGCATTCAGCCTGTGAAACCCCCAACCCATCCCTGTCCGACAGCACAAAAGTTTCAAAAGCTAGTGCAAGAGAGCTAGGACTGGAGAAGAAATGCTGCTGAGAGTACCCATTTTTAAAAGAGCAATAAGAAAAGAAAAGGAAATGCAAATCCACAGTCTCTCTTCACTCAACATTCATGACTCAAAAACAACACGAAACGAGGCGGACGCTAAATGTCATTCCTTTTCACCAATCTTCAGTGGAACTTATATTTGTGTTGTATATTCGGATGCTGTGTGCCGAAGTACAGAACAATGCGTTCACACCTCAGCAAGCAGATCTCAGTGCCTCACAGAGTATAGGTCACTTCAGCAGCACACGTGAGGAAACGTGTTAGTGGTATGTGCCATGCAGCGATAACCTCTTGATTTACACACCTGCTTAATCACAGGCCTGAGAAGGTAGCTGTTGTTGCTGTGATCACACTAGCAAGCAACACATAAAGCTCCACATTTGTTTCTTTAATCCGAGATGTTTCTGTGATGTAGGGCTGCACAATAAACAGGTAATCATACATTATTGTTCAGGTTCATATTTGTAATAATACAAATATTAACCTGAACAATTGCATAATAGGGCCCTTTAATCCACAAAATGTAGCACCGTGTGTCAAATCGGTGCTGTGTTGATTCAATTGTGGGTTCAAAGTTTTGGTTATATTTTTTTAATATTTATTGTGAATAAAAACCTGTCTTATTCTGATTTTAAGATGTGTTCATTATGAGGAATGCATCATAACATGTAAATGCAGTCTGTACAAGGTTTATTTCAAAGTAAACACATTTTGTCCCAAAAAATCTATGAACCTTCAATATTTCCTTAAGCTTATAATGTCACTGTTATCAGGAGCTGCTCTGGTAGTGCTGCTGCAGGTCATGCAGATCACTAACACAACATTGACAGTACAGCTAGTAGCCAAGACTTATCTTGAACTCGTTGTGGACATTAGAATAGTAATGTGGAAACAATAAGTCTGACTATGAGAATCAAATGCACGGTGTGTGATTCAGATGACTACCTTCCAGGGGTGACCTCTGAAGCGCCCACACACCAGCATTACATAACTCTGAATCCTCGACATGCAATATTCATTTGGACGGAGTTGACTGTAAATACAGGTGAAGACACTTACCGCCATCACCAGCTCAAAGGGGTACTTATACACCCGCACGGGCGACTGGTACTTCTGTACCATGGTGGGGATTACAGTGACACCGACAACCTGAACAGATAAAGGAAGAAATCAGAGAAGAAAGTACGAGCAATGATCACATCAAAGGCTGCCTTTCACTCACTCATCATCACAATAAGTGCGCCGAGTGCGATATGACAGCATTATAGCCGCATCTGGCCCTATAACAGTAAACTTAGTGTGTAATTAAGTTAATGTGCATTTTGGCTGGCTGCTTGAATGATGCCAGGTGCTTGCGTGTGTGCGTTTGTGTTCTGGCAGGCAGCCCGAAGAACTAGAAAATGATGTACAGTGATGGGCTGCAGAAGGGGACTCTCCTGAGCCGTGACCAAGGATGTCACTGATCAATGGATGCAGCAGGCCCCCCCCCCCACTCATCAAACAGAGGCCACTGCAAAGGCTTGCCAATGCACACTACTGGGAACATTACTAAGCTTAGTCCATCTACTGTCTCTGCAGAACCTCAGGTCGCAGCTACACACAAAAACACTCTACGTTATGATAAAAAAAAAAGGTGGTGCTTAATCTTTGTAATGTAGACAGCACATTCTGGAGCAGAGGCTAAAGATTGAACGTGTGAATTAAGGGAATACTATAGTCACCTGCACATAAGTTAAGACGTACGTGTTTTATTGAATAACACAAAGTGGTGATGAAACAAAGATTATTCTCACTCCTTGAATATTTCCAGAAGTGTGGCTTGAAGTTCATGTTGGGTGTTTGTTCGGCATGCGGATACATGTCTGTAACTCCTGCAATGCAGTGATAGGAACATGGTTGCTAGTAGGGGGGTGAGCTGAAGTCCCAGCACTACTTACAGAAGGATCAGGGCAGGAAGACTAATAATAACAACCGGGCTAGGACAAACAGAATAAAAAACAAACCACAGTATTACTCTATATCCAACTAACTGCAATACATATTTACCGTCATGCTTCAGGGTCTGTCAGCAACTTCAAAGACACGTCAAAACAAGACAATTACTTTATTATGCGATCTAGGCAGTGGTGTAGTGTAACTAATTACATTTACTGTAATTGAATTGAGGTGCTTGTTATTTACTTGAGAATGTTCACATTACGTTTTGTAAGGAAATACTCTACTTTGTAATCCATTACATTTATTATATTTAGTTACTTTGCAGATTTATTTGGAGTTACTTTATATATAAATCGACACAAAATGATAATGTATTATTAGAGGTTGAGCTACCCATTAGTATGTAAAGTAATTAATATAAACTCAACTCATACCAAGTACAACATTAACGTGATGAACACATTAATGCATCAATAATTAAACACATTTTTTAAATATCTGGTGCTTAAAATGGCCATTTTGAGTAACGAGTGTTTTTACTTTGAACACTTAAAGTATTTTTAAAGGCTAATGCTTTTTTACTTTAGTACAATTTTGAATGCAGTACTTTAACGTGTAACAGAGTATTTGAACATTGTAGTATTGCTACTTTTACTTAAGTAAGTAATCTGAGTACTTCTTCCACCTCTGGTTCTAGGGACTTTGAGTGACACCAACTGTCAACTGGAACACCAACTGTCAACTGGAACCGGCTGTAACGTTGAACAGTTCAAACTAAAACACACCCGTACAAATAACATGTTGAAATCTTTACATGTTATGGCTAACAATTAAACTAAATAACACGTGTTATTATTTCAACGACTATGACAGGGGATAACGACATTTGCCACGCCGACTTGTTAACGTTAGCTTACACATAATAACAATGTGTGCTAATTGAGACTTTGCCGGCAAACTAGCGTCAATTTATACAATAAGCTGCTAACCTGACATAAATAATATAACTGGTGCTTACCGGTGATTCAAATAAGTAGATAAATAGAGGTTGGTTGATTCTGGTTAGTCGTTGTTTCTTCTGGAAGGGCTACCCGAGCAAACTCTTGCCATTCCCCTTCTCGGCTCTTCACTTCGCCGGCTACGGGTGAGATGAAGCCAGAAGCTAACAGCAGTTAGCTTTGTTGTGCTAGCTGGCCATGTAGCCGGAGTAAGCAGCTAACAGGATAACCGTGAGACAAGTCCTCCTCACAGACCGACACTGGCAGACATCGTAAGAGCAAAACACTAAGTAGTTATATCAGGCGTAAATGGATGAAGTGTCGGCACAGAGGGAGAGTATCTCTGGCTCTCTCCTCCTCTCTCTCACTCATGCCTGTGCTGCCCTGGCTCCGCCCACTTTAACTCAGGGGTGTTGTCGGCAGAATACTCCATGGGAGCCTGCCTGCCGACCACACATCCTCAGGAGAAGCACGCAGAGGAGGAACAAGTACTCAGATCTTGTTCTTAAGTGAAAGAAGAAGTACCAGAGTTAGGAATATTCTGTAACAAGTAAAATCCCTGCAATCAAAATGTTACTCAAGTAAATGTACAGAAGTATTATTAGCTGAAAGTACTCAAGTATATTAGCAAGGGTCTAAAGCAGGGATGGGCAACGCACGGGTGCCCACACTTTTTTCACCGAGGGCCACAGAAAAATATTCGAAGGGCTGGGCCACTCACTAGAGGTCAGGTTTATTGCCTCATAAGTGAAGTTATAAGTTAGCTAAATCAATCAAATGTAAGTAAATTATGCTTGATACAACAGCCATGACAGCTCTCCATAGGGTTTCATTTATTTTGTTAGCAGCTCATTCCTTAAAACAAAAGCCTTAGATTGCTTATCATGAGAGGAAATAGGAAGGGTATATTTCAAGGTTGTTATGTAAATAAGTTATTGGGCTTTTTTCTTATTAACTTAGATTTGTTAGAAGAACATATTTTCAACTTTAATTGACTGAAAGTGGGCTTATAGGGCCGCAGTTTGGACACCCCTGATCTACAGTAAAAAGTATGTATTGTGTAGAATGCCTCTTATACATGTGTTGTATTATTATATGTATTTGTTTAAAAAGTAACTACAAGTGTCAAATAAATGTTGATAATGACAATAAAGAAATCAAATATATATACATAAATATAAAAAGACAACAAGGAGACAAAGGAAATGAAAACAGAGCTATATTCTTACTCTGGGTTGATCCATTGTTGTGGGGAGTGTCTGGTTGGCTGGTGTGAAGAGGAATAAGCTCTTAATGTAGTTCAGGAAAGGAGACCAGGTTTTATTGAAGGGGATTATATTGTCATTTCAGCTTGAGGAGAGTTTTTCCAGGTTTGCATTTGCGCAGCGTTGCGTTCACAATACATAAAACAAACAAAAAATCCTCAGGCCGGCAGGCCACTTAACAGGCCAGTCCGGGCCTGATGTCCTATGTCAATAAATAATAGTAAATCACATATGGACTCAATTTTTCTGCATAATTGCTACTTTTACTTTAAGTGCATTTTGCTGATAATGCTTCACTTTTACTTAAATAAGATTTGAATGCAGGCCTTGTACTTGTAATGGAGTACTTTTACCCCTTAAGTCAATGTGTTATTTCAGAGAATGTGCCATGGTGAAGTGATGCACAGTTTTTAAGTAGTTTTATATTGAAAACATATCAAGTTTCCAGTGTACTGTTGTGTTGGATTATTATAATTATTATTCATTCAGTTTTAGTTTTCCATATTGTGTTGTGCATTTTATGTATCCTATTTAATCTTTTTTTATAAAGTGTGTTTCTATAGATTATGGCATGCTTTTGTTTAAGTCCATTCCAACATTTTATTTTCATTTTAATTCATTTTAATTTGTATTATATTATATTATCATCATCAGGGGGAAATTGTGTCATACTTGAGCATTTTGACCAAAAATGAGGTTGAGCTTTCACAGACAGTAACATTAAGTTTCATTAATTAAAGAGACAATCAAGATGTTAAGAATTGCCCCTTCATGAAGTTGGAAGAGTCACAGGAGAATTTTTTTTTTTTCATAAACTATCAGAGGCCGAGACATCTTTAGACATGCCAAATCCTACATTTCCCGTGTTACAACCAACTACATTTGTATTTGCCTACAAGTGCCTTCATTCTACAGACTCCACATCTCCAGGAGTAAAACTCAGGCTTTCTGTTGAAAAAAGTGTTGCCTCCTCGCTGAAATTACCAGCAAAGCATCCTTTATGTGTACATTTTCATTTTTAAATCATGGAGAGCAATAAGTGACATCAAACACAGCCCTCTCTTTCTTTAAGCGGTTCAGAATCCTATAGAGAGTGAAGTGCCCTTGGTGTCTTCTACCCTCAAAAGTGGGTGACCTAGTCAAGATACCAAGCCTCAAAATACCTTGGTGTAATTGGAGACAGTGTGATCCAATTTAGGCCACAGGTATCAATGCTGCCGTTGAAATATGATCGTGATCTCTGTGCTTTGAAAACAAGCACTGACCCTACATGTGACTTACACACCCGAAACCCAAGACCACTGCTGTAATAAAACTTTAAACAAGAGTTAATTAAGAAAGTTGCTGTGCAAGTATCCCATGAAGTAATAATAGCTGCCCAAAACAAAAAAACAAAACTGAATTGAAGTGAAAAACACAAACACATTTACAGTAAGTGGTTCATACATTGAGAAAAATACAGAAGTAATTAGATTTGCATGTACAAAATGGTGCTTTATTTGCAGTGTCGCAGATAGTGTGCAGATAAAATATACGTGTGCACTTGTATGGCTTGAGTTAAATACACCCATGTCCTAATTATTCAAGAGGTTTAGCCGTGATGGCAGTGGCTGATAGCATTAAGGCGATTGTGTTTAAAGGGCAGGCTAGAGGTAAGCCTACATCCGACACTAATCTCCCACCACACCAAATGTTAAAGAACAACAGCTGTTACATCATAAATGATATTGTATGGTCAGATAGTGTCTGGGCTGGAGAATATGGAGGACGTGATTGGAATGTTCTTTATCTGAGTAGTATTGACCAATCATGTTGAAGCAGGCTTTTGCCAAACATGTAAACAGTCTGTGTGGAGCAAACAAAGAACACATTTATCCAAATTCAAACTGGGAACCCATCAGCTATCGTCCACGCTTTTTATTCGCTTAAAATTAGCTTGTGAACTTGCTACTTGTGAAACAATGAGGTCATAGTCTTTGTTCCAACTCAGACTTCCATTCTGGTCAACGTTGCTAATCGGACTGTAACATTAAGCAGAGAAAGGAAAAGAAAGTTGGCTTGATATCACTACCTATACCGGAACCCCCAAAATCTTGAAGTCATGTCCATTCAATGACCCCAAGTCATAATTGACTGTACCGTATGATTTTCATAGAATTCCTCCATTAACGCCAGTAGCAAAGAAAACTCCCCTTTAACGGATAGAAACCTCTAACAGAACCTGGCACAGGGTTGGCGTCCATCTTTCTAGACCGGTTACCTCTTGACTCCAGCAAAATCATGATGCTATTCATAGAATTTTGAAAACTGTCGTTAAACTTTTGCACGGCTTGTGTGTGATGACCTGTCCTATATGTAACCATTTGAGGTCAATGTCTGGCCAAAACTTGCTAGATCAAGAGTTACCATTTAGCAGACAACCTTTTCTAACCTTATACCACTCATTATCAATGCAAACCCTCAACCTAGATAGGGGTATCGTTTAGCTCGTTTGACCATTTTGTGAATGTTTCCCAAATCCATGGTGACCATCTAGCCATGACCCTTTAAAGGCTTATCGTTGTCAGGCAAATAGTGGATATTTACCAAAAGTGTTCAATTGTTAACATGAAAAATGTGCCAGTAAACATCACAGATGGATTGAATTGGATTAAACATAGGTTGCAAAAAGCCCTCGTGTTTTGTGTTGTTCAGCGGTTCAGCACTTCCTTAGTAGTAAGTGAAAATGGATCATATACATCATCAAGGCAAATACGATGGTAGTGTAACAACCCAGGTTTGTATACAGTTTGGTAATCAACCCTCACATTGTTGTTCAACTTTCATGTAGTCCTTCTCACTTCATTACCTGCACTCTCAACACAACAATAAAGTCATAAAATAATCATCTTATGTAGGCGTGTGGCGCAGTGGAATAGTGCATTAGTGTTCGGATCAGGGGAGCACAGGTTCAAACCCCACTGCAGTCAGCATGTCGTTGTGTCCCTGGGCAAGACACTTCACCCCAAGTTGCTCCTGTGGGGATTGTCCACAGTATTGAGTATGTATGTCACTTTGGATAAAAGCGTCTAACAAGTAACATGTAATATAATGTAATGTATGTAATAAAGCACGGGTGACCTATTTCTCTGCCCTCTATCCTTGTAGAAGTCTTGTCCTTGGTGTTTGTGTTGGAAATAGCTTACAGACTACGGAGAGGGTTTTTTAAAAAAACAAGATAATTACAGATACAAGTGGATATTCCTTTATAAAAATCATTATAAAGGACTCCACGACCTGCATGCCTCCAGGACCCTGAGGCGGGCAGGGAAGATAGTGGCCGACCCCTCCCACCCTGGACACAAACTGTTCACCCCCCTCCCCTCTGGCAGGAGGCTGCGCTCCATCAGGACCAATACCTCTCGCCACGTGAACAGTTTCTTCCCCTCCGCTACCGGCCTCTTAAACAAGGCCCGGCATCCCCACTGTCACTTTACCTCTGCCACATCATCGACTATATGCATTACATGAATGCACACAATGTTCATACTCCTTACTGTACATATTCTTATTTCACATTTCTTAGTTTATATTCTAAAATTCATTCATAGCATTCTATTTCCATGTAAATTACTGCTTTATTTTTATTTGTATTGCTATTTAACTATATTTTATTACGGTGTAAAAGATTTTTTGTTTTATATTAGATTTCTTGTTTTTTATATTTTATGTATGCACCGACATCAAGTCAAATTCCTAGTATGTGCGAACCTACCTGGCAATAAACCTGTTTCTGATTCTGATTCTGATTCTGATTCTGATCAAGACTCTTTTATTTAGAATCTTAGGGAATAAAAACGGTTTATAGTTATATATTTTTTCAAAATAGGTGTGCACAGTTTGATCAAGAAAATATGTAACATGCAGGGACCTCTACTGGCCAGTAGATAGAGTTACAACAAATTGCAACTGCTTGGCTGCTGATACTCTTTTATATTTACATTTTCTCTCCACACCAAAAGAACAAATTAAACTATACAAAGCTGCAGATTTTTGATCCAAAACAACAAATTGTCTACTTTTCTCTACAGTTGAGAAGCCACACATTTATA